CCCCGCCCCACCCCGCCCCGCTGGACTCGGTCATCATCTTTGCTTGCGAAGGACAAACAACAATCTGATTTAAAGTTATCGGAGTTTGAAAATGTTGCCCAAAGCATTTTTGGCACAATTCTACAAAGAATTTTACAAAACATGATGTATTTTCCTTTAATCTACCTAGTGAAGAGAAAACCAGTTCCTCAATTAGAGGAAGCCCTGGAACAAATTAAAGGATCAGTTTTAACATCAGGATTTTACTTGCCTAATAGGGAAAAGACTAACTGCAGGTAAGCATTTATGTTTGTTCTTTTGATTAAATTGTTTAGAGTTGTTTGATACATACAAAAAACAGCAAATGGTTCAATACTCCTTTTTTTAATTGTGGAACTTTATCTAGTGCCCAATAGTACAGTTTTACAAAATGTAAAATGCATTTTTCCCCAAATTCATTTTTGCAGTGCATTTAGCACAAAGCAGAGAAGAGGAGACTAACCTTTCCACTTCCCTAACCCTGGTGAAGCCTGAGGCTCGCTCAATGCTACCGTAAATGAGAATATCCTCCAGGTTAAAATCATAACATCATAGAAAATTAGGGTCAGAAGGGACCTCAGGAGGTCTAGTCCAACCCCCTGCTCAAAGCAGGACCATCTCCAACTAGATCACTCCAGCCAGGGTTTTGTTGAGCTGGTCCTTAAAAATATCCAAGGATGGAGATTCCGCCACCTCTCTAGGTAATTTGTTCCAGTGCTTCACCACCTTCCTAGTGAGACAGTTTTTCCTAATATCCAACCTAAACTTCCCTTGCTGCAGCTTAAGACCATTGCTACTTTTTCTGTCATCTGCCACCACTGAGAGCAGTCTAACTCCATCCTCTTTGAAACCACCGATCAGATAGTTGAAAGTTGCTATTAAATCCCCCCTCAGTCTATTCTTCTACAGACTTAGTTCCCTCAGCCTCTCCTCAGAAGTCATGTGCCCCAGCCTCCGAACCATTTTTGTTGTCCTTTGCTGGACTTTCTCCAAGTTGTCCACATCCTTTCTGTAGTGGGGCGCCCAAAACTGGATGCAGTACTCCAGATGTGGCCTCGCCCGAGCAGAATATTGCAGAATAATTGCCTCCATCCATCTGCTGGCAATGTTCCTACTAATGCAATCCAGTATGCTGTTAGCCTTCTTGGCAACAAAGGCACACTGCTGACTCATATCAAGCTTATTGTCCACTGTAACCCCAAGGTCCTTTTCTACAGAGCTGCTGCTTAACCAGTTGGTCCCAAGCCTTTAGCAGTGCGTGGGATTCTTTTGTCCTAAATCCAAGACTTTGCAGATTTCTTTTGGCCCAATTCTCCAATTTTTCTAGGTCACTCTGAATCCTATCCCTACCCTCCAGGTTGTTCTAATCTGTCCCAGTGCCATAGTTCTCTAGACCACTCAGCCCTCTACTTATTTAATAGTAAATTCTAACCAGATACTTTACTGCTTCTCTTTTAGGTGGATTGTGATGCAGTTTTTAATGATAAGTTCATGTGTTTGTTTTTTGCACAAAGCCATGCCTCCTCCAGTCCACAGATTGGACAATATTCACTTCTTGAGCAACTATTCTGTATTTTGTTGTTTCTTTGTTGTTCAGCGTGGCTCCATGACTTATTTACTATTTGTTGTCTAAGTGCTCTGAAGATAGCATTATTAATTTTTCATAGGCTTCTGCAAAGACTCTCATTCTTATACTCTTTAGTTATGTCATAAATTTATTTTCACAAAGCTTTTTTGAGGTGACTTGATTAACATCACAGAGAAACTGTATGGCAAACAGGGATAGAATCCGCAATTCTCCAGGCAGAAGTCAACTTTCTTAAAAACTTCCTGTACTCCTTCCTTAATTCATTATTCATCTTTCAGAATTTGCAAAAATTGTATCAGGGTCCTACAGTCTTCACTATATAAATTCATAGATGTTAGGGGCTGGAAGGAACCTCTTGAGATCATCAGGTCTGCCTCCCCTGCACTTGGATAGGAAGGACTGCTGGGGTCAGATGACCCCAGTAAGGTGAGCATCCAGGCATTTTTTAAGATATCCAAACTAGGTGATTTGTACCACTTTTGGGGGTGTCTGTTTCAGACCCTGGACACTCAAGTTGTAAAGTTTTTTCTTTTGTCTAATTTAAAGTGGTCTTCTAGCAATTTATGACAGTTAGTCCTAGCATTCCCCTGGGGAGCCCTGAACCTTGACTTATCCCCTATGTAGGTCCAGCCTGTGCAGGGGATAAAGCAGGGGCCCTTTGGAAAGAACAATCTGATTATTTAATTGTAGAACATATACTTTAACCCCTGACTTTATTTGCCAGGTATTACATTTTTGCTCTGATATCTGCATATTTTTATTTTAAAAAATAAACATATTTGAAAATGCATAGTTGCTCAAAAATACTTATAAATCATGCAAAAAATAAGAATTGTATTTTTTTTCTACCTCAAGAACAACAGACTCTCCCTCAGTTTCATCTAGAAATGATTATTTGCATCAGAAACAGACCTCGGCATGGGTTAGCAGTGATAAAGCAAAACAGGAAAACAGTACAACAAATCCAGATAGTAACCAACTTTTCTTCCAGCAAAATCTGGAAGAAATGCAACAATTCCTTGAAGAGCAGCATCTCAGCAACTTGGAGGTATGATGTTTTAATATGTAGTTTCTAAATAATGTTTCTGAAGTGTCTTAAGTTTAATAAAAATGAAAAGCCCAAGAGGTAGCTATTACTATACTTAGATCCTCTGACTGATGTCGGCACCTGCAGTGTCCAAGACTCACTAAGTGACGCAGTTCAAACCAGTGTGTTATTAAAACACTATACTTATGCTATAGTTCATACCTAAGGTCTTCTTTGTATTCCAAAAAAAAATTATACGAGTTCTTATTTATTTAAAAACAGCTATGAAGATTGTAGGTATTGACTTGAAGTCCCAAGACTTTGTATGATACATAATAGCATTTTGTGTCCTCTTTTTGGTTTCTTGGAATTTGTAGAAGCTTTTTTTGGATTTACAATCCTAAACATCTACTAATAATGGTCTGCTTGCTTTGGGCTCATATATGTTGTCTTTGAAAGCAGTGTATTTCCTCTGGTGTCCTAGGCTAATATGGCCCTTGACCAGGACCATGACTCTTCCACTTATTACTTGTAGCTCTTTGCTAAAATGTTACCACACATTTTGGTTTCAAAGAATCATAGAAAATTAAGGTTGCAAGGGGCCTAAGAAGGTCATCTAGTCCAAAGCAGGACCATCCCCAACTATATCATCCCACTCAAGGCTTTGTCTAGCTAGGTCCTAAAAACCGTTAGGATGGAGATTCTACCACCTCTCTGGGTAACCTGTTCCAATGCTTCCTAATGAGAAAGCTCTTCCTGATATCTAACCTAAACTTTCCTTGCTGCAACTTGAAACCATTGCTACTTCTTTATTATCTGCCACCACTGAGAACAGTCTAACTCCATCCTCTTTGGAACCACCCATCAGGTAATTGAAGGTTGCTATTAAATCCTCCCTCAGTCTTCTCTTTGCCAAACTAAGTAAGCCCAGATCCCTCATCCTTTCCTCAGAAGTCATGTGCCACAGCCCCTTATCCATTTTCATTGCCCTCTGCTAGACTCTGTCCAATTTGTCCATATCCTTTCTGTAGTGAGGGGCCCAAAACTGAACACAGTACTCCAGATGTGGCCTCACCAGTGCAGAATAGAGGGAAAAAATCACTTCCTTCAATTTGCGGGCAGTGATCCTATTAGTGCAATCCACTATACCGTTAGTCTTCTTCGCAACAAAGGCACACTGTTGGCTCATATTCAGCTTATTGTCCTTTTCTGCAGAGCTGCTGCTTAGCCAGTCGGTCCCCAGCCTGTACTGGTGCCTGGGATTGTTCCATCCCAAGTACAGGACTTGGCACTTGTCCTTATTAAACCTCTTGAGATTTCTTTTGGTCCAGTCCTCCAATTTGTCAAGGTCTCTCTGAATCCTAGCCCTACCCTCCAGCATATCCACTAGTCAGTGCCAAGTGTATTAGCATGTATGTTGCCCCTTGATAGATCTGCACAGGTGACTTTTGAAGTAGACTTCAAATATATTTGTACAGCCAAATATATTTTGAAGTCTCTGACACTGATGCTCAGAAAAACACAGTTCTAGCTTTATAGCGCTCACACAGGTGTTCAGCAGAGGTTTGAGAACATTCTATATGAGGAAAATAATCTCTTTAATTGGAATTACTTTTTTTTAGTGTTCTCCTTGCAGTAGATGCTGTAACAATGTGGATACACTGATACATTCCCTGAGTCAGAGGTGGCTAAACTGTGGCACAAGTGGCAAGGGCAACCTCTGTGTGTGGCCTGTGGCAGATCAGGTAAGGGAAAGGCAGCACAGCAGCAGATAGAGTAGGAAGCAGAAATGTGAGCAGCAGGGAGCACAGGGCAGAAAGCAGAGCAGGAGATCATGCAGGATTAGGAAACAGAGTAGGAAGCAGAAAGCAGAGCAGCAGTTCCTGGGAGTGTGAGGGGCTAATTTGTGGCATGCTTGCTAAAAAGGTTGCCCCCCATTGCCCTAGATAATGATGATGATGTGAGCTAGTAAAATTTCTTTTAAAATACAAAATCATTTTCTATAACACTTTTAATTTTAAAACATAAAAGTCTAAGCAATATAATGTTAAATGTATCATAGTAAGAAAATAATATTGTGCTGCACTTTGTAAAAAAAAAATCCAGTTCCCTTTAATGGATTTTCATGAGAACATCCTTAAGTGACATATATACACATTAAAAATATAATGTATAGCAGAACATATTGTACAGATATGGTATAAAGTCTTGCATTGTATCACTAGTATCACTTTTTAAAACACCTTTGGGCCTATAAATAATCTAGCTTTCTTCTTCTAGAATGTATTTGATTATTACCACTAGGGGCCGCTGGTATTCTTCTCTGTGAAATGGGCAAATATTTGCAATTTGAAATTGTTTACAATATTTTTGTGGGGTTTCTTTCTAGAATTGTGTATTTTAGGGACTCTATTCAGACAAAGTCGGCAGAAAAATTAGTGTCATTGTTTTGCAGCCCAAATTCTGGCAGTTGTTACTGTGATTATACTGATCTCTTAATGAATTGTAGCTCTCAAATTTATTGACATGACAGTAAAGCATTAAGAAACCATATCTAATAATACTGTGTATAAAACTTCTATAAACGGCCTTTAATAAGCTTGTTACTATGTCTTCCTCAGATCAGTCAAAGTCATTGCATCCAACAGTTGCTTCTACAAAGCTGAAGGCAAACATCAAGGGCTTGTCTCACCAACCATTGAAAATCCTTTTATTTGCCTCCCTTTGTTTCAGTTTTTACAGGCCCAACAGGATTATAAAAATTCCTAAAATTCTTTTCTTTCATATAGGGCAGTAAAGTTCTATGTGGTCCCTACAATCAGATTCACTGTTTGTTCTCTGTGTCCTATCTTTAAAGATAGGTATAGTTTCAGTATTAAGCCTTCATTTTGCAATGACCTTTCTGTCATTTCTCACGATTATAACATTACAGAAATTTATCTATGTTTAGTTTTGCCTCTTGCAACAATTTTTGTGTTTGCACCGTAAAATGAAATGCAGTCTTTCAAAAACCTTCATTAAATATGTTGTATCTTGGAGAAACTTGTAAAGATAACTTTCACTCATAAACAGAGGACCTCTCTTTTCTTTCTCCATCTAGATATTTGAAAAGTAGAGTTGATAGCTAAGGTTGCTTAACACTTTTTATCATAAAAATCTATCCTGAATTTCTTTTAACTTTCCCAAATTTTAACTTTGACTTGAATTTTTCCATGACTGATGGCTGTCTCGCTCCTAACTTTTTTAAGAATTTCAGTTAAAATGTTTTAGCTCTGTCTAAGAACGTGACCTAAAAAATAGTAGAGCTTTATCAGAAGACAATTGTTTGATTGTTTGGCCAAAACCAAACACATTTTTTTTTTAAATTTTTGATCCAAAAAAATGTTTCTGCTTTTTTGGCAAAATATTTTTTAAAATCTTGAAAGTGGAAAATGTCTTCTAATTAAAACACAATATTTAATTTCATTTGGGGGAATTTTTAACAAAATTAAATTTGGAAAAAAGCTAGTTTCACAATGGAATTCAGGTACCATTCACAAAACAAGAGAGAAGTTGGGAGTCTTCTCCCCAATACTCTGTGATCAAGATGATCACCTGGTACATGGGAAATCAGCACTCAGACCTCTGCTTTGTCTGACGTTGAAGTAGGGAGTTAAGAGAAATATAAGTATTAGGTATTCTGGATAGGACCTCTTTTCTTGAAGGTGCCCAGTGTGCACAAAATACCGATTGTAGCAGCGACTGGAAAGCACATGTCTACTCTCCCAGGTCCGTGCCTTCATCAAAGGGATGTTGCTTTTTAAAGGAAGCATCATTTTTAGGAACTCGCTGGTCCAAAGGCTAGTTATATCATAATTAGGCTTCACAGGATTCATTTTTTATTGGTGAATGTTAATAAACATTGATTTCACCACACACCCCACACCTCACACACCAACAAAAAAAATATGTCCTATCATTAATAATCAAGATTTAGAGAAAGAGAAAGTAAGAAAAATGATAGCTGATGGAGTGTGTAATGACAGCAGTCCTACAGAACTGTGCTTACTGTACTTTGGACTTCAACTCCCAGAAACCCCAAGGGACTGGGAACAAAGGAAGAGGAAGTGACAAAGTAGACGAGGGAGCTACAGGCAAAATCTGGATTAGTCTACTGGATCTAGCAAATTAGGCATTCCAATAACTAAATTGGAATGCAGGGGATCACCCTCACCCGGACTTCCCGGCCCTGTAGCGGGCATGGCCGACATCAACATCTTAAGGGATAGCCGACCTAGTCGGCGACCTAGTGATCGATGGGAAGCTGGGTGACAGCGACCACGAGCTGATCACCTTCACCATCCGCCGAAAAGCTGGCAAGTCGGTCAGCAAGGCGCAAGTCTTTGACTTCAGGAAAGCCGACTTTGACAAGCTCAGGAGGCTTGTCAGTGAGGCCCTAAGGGACCGTGACCACAGGGAGAGGGGAGTTCAAGAGGAGTGGTTGCTCCTCAAGGGAGCGATCCTCAATGCACAAACTAAGTCTATTCCATCTCGGAGGAAAGGCAGCAAGAGGGCACAGCAGCCCCCCTGGCTCTCCAGGGACCTAGCAGACCTCCTGAGGCTAAAAAGAAAGGCCTACAAAGGGTGGAGGATGGGAGTCACCACCAAGGAGGATTATTCTGCACTGGTCCGGTCCTGTAGGGAGCAGACCAGGAAAGCCAAGGCTGCAACTGAACTCCAACTAGCTTTGAGCATCAAGGACAATAAAAAGTCCTTTTTCAGATATGTGGGGAGCCGGAGGAAAAGCAGAGGCAACATTGGACCCCTGCTGAGCCAGATGGGGCAACTGACAACTGACGCCCAG